TTGAAAATAATTTCAATAAGATATACAATACCTGTCTCTTATACACATCTAGATGTGTATAAGAGACAGCTGTTATAGACATCATGCTTAAATTACAGCTACACATGCCAAGTTAAATCTCTCGTTTTACTTACGATCTTTGCCGAGCAAGAAAACAAAAATATAAGAATATTCAAAAATAAGTATATTTTTAAATGCATCGTTAGTGTTCATTCATTTTAGATCAGTTAAATTAAAAATTTTTTTAATTGGGAAAGCAGTATCATAATATTTGATCAAACATTGAGGTTGTTTCTGATAAAGTACGCAAAATGTGTGTCAACATTTAATATAAAGTCAGACATCATCAGACTAAATCTGAATAAATACGTCTGTTGAGTCTGAAAGCCAAATATGACATATATATATATATATATATATATATAGTGTAACCCTGTTTGAAATGTTTGATTAGTTAGTGGGGGTGGTAGGGAAGCAGGGAGAGAGAATTTTGGTTGAATGTAAATTATATGCTTTTATTTGTCACTAACCTCTAAAAATATGGACTATATACGTAAACAGTCTGGTAATAAACGCCTACATTTAATTTCATACAAATGCTAAATTTTCCCTTAAATTTATCTTTATTAAAATGTATAATAGTTTAGTAGAATGAATTACTTTTATTCGTTCATTTATAAACAGTTTTTTTTTATATTTCTTTAGTAGAAACTGTCTATGTTTTGTTTTTCACGTGTTTCTAATTTCCCAGCATCCTTTGCATAAGGCCCTTGATATTTCAGACTTGAAAACGCTGACCTTACAAGCAAACAGGAAGTTGTCGCTTGATTGGCAAGCCTGCGCCTTTGATTCGTTTTAACGTGAAGTTGTAATGATAAAGCATCCTCGTCTTCACCCGAGCTCCTCACATAGGACGCATGTTTTAAGGAGCAGAAATCTAGGCCAAACAGGAGGCTCGAAGCCTTCACCTCTGACAAGGTGAAGATAATCTAGGCCACTACTTTCAGCCTAACATTAAACTAGCATACAACATTTAATTTGTTTCAGATAAGTGATTAGAAAAACAAGAACGATAATGAGTGATTATACAGATAGGATTTTAGGATCCTACTAGTCACCATTACAATCCATTTTAGCTTTGTAATAACATCACAATTTACAATGAGAGGTCAAGCAATATAACTTTTTTTAGGATATCAAATGTGACATTTAAAAATTAGTTTTGCACCTCACATGTAAAGTTTTGCTTGAAAAAAGATTAAATTTGCAATAACCCATCATGATACATCTCATTTTTTGCAATCAACTTTACAAGAATATTATCCCTTCGACAAAAAAATGAACAGTATTGAAGACGTATGATTGCCAAAATTCATTTTTACTTCTTTCGGATTTAAAATAAATTTTCTTTCATAAGATTTACACCCTAAAAAATATAGAGTAATTAGGGCCAGAAAGTTCAAAAGTTAAAAAGCGGTTGATTCAATAGGCATGTATCAGAAACTCTTTGTGAGTTATCAAAATTATTGTTTTAATATACAAAACAAACACTCAATAAAGACCAGATTTAAGGAGAGATAAGCATCCGCTAGCCCATAACAAAACTTAAATTGAATGGAACAGGTGTGACTCCAGCCTCGGCCTAAAGACAGGGAGATGGTGAGTCAGGTATGGCCGCTGAAAAGGCATTCCTCGGGTTTAGGTGAACAATCAAGTGTGATCGTTTCGCATTAGACGTTGGATGGCACAGAGGATTGTTGGATTGCCTTTCGGGTAATCGAAGTACTGTAGTAACCATGGTCACTTAATATTTGCTACAATATGGAGATTTTGCAACCTCACGCCAATGAATACGTCATTATTATCATTCGTGCCTATAACATTCTTGACAATATTCTGTATGAGCTGAATATGATCCTTGTTACATGCAAAAGGCATGAATTGCCTACATTGTGAAAGATATGCTACGCATATCTAGTCCTTGGTGCATGGCAGGTTTTATTCCCTAATATGGGGAGAGGAGAATATCAATATTCTTTTTAATATTAATTAATCAACTTTATTTTCAAAACATTTTATAATTTCTTATCTTTGTACATTGTAAATTAATTGTTTTTTTCCTCTTTTCATTCTCTTTTTTAATTTATATTATGTTTACTGTACTAAATCAGAACCTCTTGGGAGACTAGTACTTAAATTGTATCGAAAGAGCTTTCCAGAATAAAGAAAGATTTTTTATTGTATTGTATCATTATTTTGAAAAAAAGATAAAATAAGATTATATAAAAACAAATTAGATATTAAGTTGATTCAATGTCTGCAGAACACCTCCCGATTTGTCTGAGAAGAGCATTAAAACTTTAAGAGATAAATCTGTAATTCTTAAACTTAATAAAAAAAATCAACAAATAAATGTTTGATCAGATCTTATTCTAATGGTTTGATCAAACAAATAATGTGTCTTTCAATCTGTTAAAGTAAAACAATCAGAAATAGGCTGTAGAATTATTTTAATGTATAATCTGTTGTTAACCAATAAGCATCTTAAGAAATATTCAAACATTTTTTCAGAGAATATTTATGCTATTATATAAACACATTTGCATTTTATATCATAAGGTATGCCAAAATGCATTGCGCCAATGATTCCCCGTGACCGTGCAGTGTGGTTAAAAGAGGTGCTGAGATGTGCTGCACGTGTCAACCGCAACATTAGCAGTGATGCATAAAAAAAACTACCCTGTTAGCCGGCCTGCAAACTTACGTTATCAAGAAGCGTGGGATCACATTCTGCCTCGGCCAATAGCATCTTGACTATATCAAGATGGCCGTGTTCGCTGGCACACATCAGCGCTGTGGATCCATCCTGCTCGTAAAGTGATAAAAAACATTTTCAAGTTTCCCTCCAAGCATGCAGTACCCAAAATACATCCCCATAACCAACTTGTAAACTAAATTGCTTATGCAAATCACTCTGTTTGTAATTGGATATCAAAATTCTAAAAATTTCCTTTTTCGAAAATAATTTCAATAAGATATACAATAGACTTCAACAAGACAAGTTTAATTCACTATTAGTCTTCAAAATAATTATGATAAATACAAGCATTTAATATTTACTTTTTTTTTTAGTAGTATCCACATTATGATTACTGTAATTTAATCTAACCAAGAACATTATTTTGCATTACTATTATTGCTAATTATTCAACAGAGTAAGTTACAAATTGCAACAATTTACTAATTCAGACACAGAGAAAACACAAAAACATACAACTTTGAAAACCATTCACCGTTATAGATAAGTATACAATGTAAAGGTGTACTATCTATGGTAAATATGAAAGGAAAGATTCAATGTAAGGAAATACAACCACCGCCACCGCAAAAAATAAAAAAAACCAACACTACGAATAAGACAAGCAACATGCATAACATAATATGCAATCAGAAAAAAACATCATTAAATATGCTTATAAGAGGTGACACAGAACGCATTTTCATTCCATAAAATTGTTTCAAAGCATTTTAGTTAAAATTTGTTTAAATTTTGCTTCAAAAAGAGTTTTTAGTGTGTAAACATTTCTTAAATAAACTTCTACAAACAGTTTATTAGAAGCCAAATGAAATTATTTGAGTAATCAACATCAATTATCATTATTAATTTTAATAAATAAATTATAATCATTATTTATCATTATTATTATTATTATTAGACATTCCTTGTGAGAATATTCGTCTAGTGTACCTAGAATGGTATTTATAGTTATTGAATTATGTTTAAGAAAGCTTTGCCATAGTGTTAAGTTTACCTCATCTTTCAAGTTCAAATCGGCATTAGCTTCCAACAGCAATTCAACCATCTCCCTTCTACCGTGGCTAACTGCCAACATCAACGCAGTTTGTCCTGCCTGTAACAGCGACAAAAAATTAACGTACAGAAAAGTTTATTCATATATCCAAAACAAAACAAAAACATTTTAAGAAATCAAGAAAGTTTTTACATGGAATTTTTTTTGCGCATACGGAATGAATACGTTGCTGTCGACTAACAGTGCCCACGATGTTACCCAATTACGTCATGGTGGGACGCTGTGAGGAGTGACTTCTGCAGACTAAATCTTCGACAATCTGAAGGCAGCGGCTGTTACTGTACTTTTAGTTTACTTTAATGTACAGCACTTCTACTATATTTTTACTTTAATATTGTTGCTGTACTTTTACTATATTTTACTGCATTTTTAAATTATTTCAATATATAATACAATTTTAATTTCTGTGAACGATTGACTCAACATCATGTTATTACTTAACTTTGAAATAGTGTTCCATGAAAGTGAAAAGGAATAATAAAAGAAAACATAGAGAAAATCTATTAAAAAAAAAAGCATTGAAAAAAAAGGAACTTATAAATAACTTGCATGTGGATTATATCTGTCATAGCAGAATAATTTGAGTTTTCATATTGTTTGTGACAAGTTAAACAATTGAGGAAATGAAACATGAGTCTCTGTAACATAATCAGAGAACACCTTCTCACTCTCCAAGCACCTGCAGGAAGTACTGTATGCTTGTAGAGGTCATGTAGAGTATAAGACAATGAGAATTTCACAGAATTGTAACAGCAAAGAGATTACAAAATGTGAAGATTTATAATTAACGTAAATATAGTACAGCAGTTGCATTATTATCAATAATATTGGTAACATAAATCCTTAAGTATAATACATACTCCAAGTATTGAAATGCACACCATCGTGTAATTCTTAAAACCAAGATATATACAGTAAGAAGAAGAAGAAGAAGGAGGAGAAGGAGAATAATAATAAGAATAATAATAATAATAATAATAATAATAACAATAATAATAATAATAATAATAATAATAATAATAATAATAATAATAATAATAATAATAATAATAATAATAATAATAGATGTTTCATAAAGCCTGCTGACCACTGAGACAATTTCCTCAATTAGTGGAGTGGAACTGTAGCCTGCTGGTTATGTTAATATTTAAGGGTCCTGGATTCAATTACTATTAAAAAACAGGGTTTTTCTTTGGAGTGAATAATCAACAAATCCCCTTTCTAAGCCCCATAAATTTGAGAACTATTTATAGAACACCTCTCCAATCGTGTAGGTCTAAGTGGCGAGATTATAATTATGCATCCCAATTCTAAAGTTGAATTAATACAATTTTAATAAAACAGTATTAATAGAATGGAACTCCATTATTAATTTAAACTAATTTCATTTTTTTTCATAAATAACAATAGTTAAATACATGTTTATTAATATAATAAAACCAGTAGTGTAGTACACAACTAATATATTTTTATAAAAACCAAATAATTATACACTTTTCTATTTTTATGATAATTAATATATAATTTTTAATATAATTTTTAATATTTCAATTTATATGTACAACTGAAATAAAATTTTGCTAAAGTAGCCATAAAAAATCTTATTACTATCCACATGCTTTAGGCTAACATTTGGGCCTTATTTGCTGAGAATATGTTTTGTTTTTTCTGGATATGTAGGCCCACCCAAAAATATGGGACTTTTTTTTACACTTTTTCTTTCACATTATAATGTGATTTGTAAAGTGGGAATTCAGATTAAGAAAAAACAGGAAACAAGATGTAGTGAACCAAAAACTGAAAATGCTCAAAATTGTCGATAACAAAAAAATTTCAATCTTGGAATATCGGCCAGGAAATCCATAAAAAATTGAACTGAACATGCTGGTTCCGCAAGTGTTGTTTTTGTGAGAATTGTGTCAGATTTAGGTTGACGCTCCCCAGAGCATCAAATGCGATCATCAAATGCTCCATCTCTCTGAGGACGTGAGCAGAATTCACCCTATCCCACCTGTCATGGTGATAACGTACAAAGATTTGGCCAGAAGATTTTTCGAAATATTTACATTAAAAAAAAATCAAGGTTGGAGATAAGATTATTTCAGTTTTATTTCATAGGCAGTCCTTCCTGTACTATAAGACTCTGGTGTGTATTACTTCTCTGGTGCTATAATTAAATGGTCATTGGTTCAATCCGGTCCGGTTCAAATATGCAAATTAACTATTCGGCTTTGGGATTTCTAAGGGTACTGACATTGGGGGACAGGTGGAAGGGGTACTGATGGGGGCAGGGGGAGGGACACTGTGAACGTCTGAATGAGATAGTGGGGAGAATGTGGTAATACGATGTGATATTTTACAACTGAGTATAATTTCCATTTAGAACAAGTTCTTGTAATCTCGTAAGCTCCGATGAGTGCAGTATAATATAGGCAGTAGAACTAAAAAATATCTATTAATCAATCAACTATTAATCAATCAGCCATGTGTTTTAGAGCTCCTCATGAGGGCAGTATAACAGAGGCAGTAGATCTAAAAAGATCTATTTATCAATCAGCTATTAATCAATCAGCCTCATGAGGGCAGTATAATAGAGGCAGTAGATCTAAAAAAGTTCTACAGTATTAATCAATCAGCCAAATGTTTCTAGAGCTCCTCATTGGAGCTAAAATCTGAAGTTAAACACACTTTTTTATGTGGAGGGGGTGAAGGAGTGACCTATACATTGTTGGACACACCACTCCATCACCATCATTAAAATTTATAGTTTCAAAACTCCAAATTCCATGCCTTGCGTATTTTGTGTAATGAATGCAGGTATCATACTGACTCACCTGTGAGGCCTTGACATTAACATCCCCTGAATTAAATAGCCTCCTGATGACCAGACGTTGCGTTTCACTTGTCACGGCTGATAAGGAGGCTAGCATAATGGCTGTATATCCGGCTTTGTTTTGCTTGTTGACACTGCAGTCTCCTGTATCCAGTAGTTGTTCCACTATATTATAATTACCGTGTGAAACGGAGTAATGCAGAGCAGTGTTCACCTGTTTTTCATAAAAAATAGGTTAAAAAATTTAAATAGTGAAGTCAAAAACAAGCTAACAATTTGGCAATAGGAAGTTCTTTAGAAGAGGGAGGGAGAAAATCAGCTAATGAACTGCTGTAACAATCTAGGAGCCAACGGAACACCAACATAACAAATAAAATACTTTTGTTATTACTAATAGTACTTTAACTGTGTTAGTAAATAGACTATTCACTATAATATAAATTCACTTAAAATAAGAAGCCATCAATACAGTACTGCAGCACCAGAAATTCCCAACGAGGTGTCCAATGTCACCGATAGGGCGACTGTGCCCACATCAACCATGATTGGGAGTGAAGGTAAGCATATTTTAAGAATAGGCACCTCTAGATGCCTTGAAATGGCACTGTCAGACTAGAAAAATGGCAAAGCAATGATAAATAAGAAGTGATATGCTTATTTCCGACAGGGTCTTCAGCCACCCCTTCTTAACCACGCCACTAAATAAATATCAAATATTGCAGGGCTCATAATGTGTATAAGAGACAGGTATAAGACAATGAGAATTTCACAGAATTGTAACAGCAAAGAGATTACAAAATGTGAAGATTTATAATTAACGTAAATATAGTACAGCAGTTGCATTATTATCAATAATATTGATAACATAAATTCTTAAGTATAATACATACTCCAAGTATTGAAATGCACACCATCGTGTAATTCTTAAAACCAAGATATATACAGTAAGAAGAAGAAGAAGAAGGAGGAGAAGGAGAATAATAATAATAATAATAATAATAACAATAATAATAATAATAATAATAATAATAATAATAATAATAATAATA